ATGTCCGCCATTTTTTATTTGATTTGACGTTTCGTTTACAATAATTTTAAATGTGATGATTGTGTGGATATGTTAATTTACGTTTAATTAATAAATAAACCGTAACAATATGTTTATAATGTTTAGTTTTATGTGTTATCAAAAAGTAAACGTTCAGAGTAATTGTAAAGGTCAAATATTTGATACGAGGTAAGATGTTAATTGTTAGTTAATTCAAAACTATTTATGTTTTTAAGTATCGATGAGTGACGTTTTTCTAAAAACTATTTACAGAAACTAATCTTAATGACTCAACAATTTAACGCCTAGTCCATTACTTATACATAAGTACATGATATATACATATATATACTTATATATATATGTATATATATCAGAAAGTTCTTGCAATTTCCACTAAGGCAATATGCCACTCACACCTAGTTAAATACATGATAGCTTGCATAATTATTTTAAGAAAAAATGTTGATAACTATCTTATACGTTTTTATGAATAAGTACTCTTTTACAAAGTCTGTGAAACGATCTGGAAAGATAAAATTAATTTTATGTGCACTTAATTTTGACTTTAATTTGAGGTCGCATCAAACTCAGAAATGGCGAAATTTAAATTGATTAAAAATTGATTTTAATAAACAAACTTATGACGTCTGAGGAAAAAAGATTATGAAAATTGAAACCCATTTTTAACTACACACACATATATATATATATATATATATATATATATATATATGTACATACTAGCTGACCCGGCAAACGTTGTTTTGCTAAATAAGGTATATTCTAAACAATTTCTAGAGAATCAAAAATATTAATACTTTAAGTGTATAAGGATGTGTTGTTTGAATGCTATGTATAATAAAAACAAATAACCCCATTAGTTTGTCTATATTTATTAAGCATTTTATATTTTTCAAAAGTATATAAAATTCTCAATAAAACTGCATCAAAACACTTGTTCAACATGATAGAAATTTTTTGCATAAAATTGCAACAAATTTATAATTTTTAACCAGACTAATTATGGACACCTTTATAGTTTTTTGCAAATATCTCAAAAATTTGCAAAAGCGTTTATAAAAAATTATATATCCATAAAAACTAGATAAAATTCTCAATAAAACAGTATCAAACAATACATACAATTACATAACAAAATTTTGAATAAAACCAACTCGATTGCATCTATTTATATCTTTCAATTTGAATCTGTAGATTTCTCTTAATGTCGAGCGAATTCGCGAATATAACGATAGCGAATTCCGCCTTTAATAACTTTGTAATATTAATCTGTTAAGTTAAAGTGTAATATATATACATACATTATATACATATATATGAAAAGATCTAAAGATAGATACATAGTTTAATTATCTTTTGCTACAAGATTTATAATTAAGATTACAACGGCGAGAGATGTTTAATGTTTCAAGATGGTGCAAGAAGTTTTAGCTTCGAAAAGCATAAACAGGGTTGGAATTGGGCAAATTAGAAATTTCTAATACCATGGCATATATATTGTTTGATGCAGTTTTGTAGAGAATTTTATCTAGTTTTTATGGATATACAAATTTTTATTAACGTTTTTAGAATTTTTGAGATATTTGCAAAAACCTTGGAAATGTCCCAAGCGACTCATTATCAGTAGTGTGAAATAACAAACCATTTACAGAACTTTTTTTCAACAAAATGTTAGAATACATTCTGTATACAGTTTTATAGGGAATTTTATCTAGTTTTTATAATTATATAATTTTATATAAATGTTCTTATGAATTTTTGAGATCAAACAATATGTACAATGCAATGAGAAGCCTTGAATATGTAGTTCTTCTAGACTTCTCTAACTCAAATTTTCAAACATTTTTAATATCTCAAAATTTTGCAAGAACGTTTTTAAATAAAACCTCATTTAACATGTAATTTGATTTTTAACGTAAATTCCCGGACGATCTTAGACACTTTTACAGTTTTTTGCAAATATCTTAAAAATTTGCAAAATGCGTTTATAATAAATCATACACTTATGAAAACTAGATTAAAATCTCTATAAAACTGTATCAAACAACATATACAATGTTATGGAAAATTTTAAAAGAAAACATTCTCTAATATGTATATTGAAGTGTACTTAAATTCGAGGTCTGAACGTTAGCTATTTTGGGCACACTTTCGGAGTTTTTTTGCAAATATATCAAAAATTTGCAAAAACGTATATAGATAGATATATATCTATGAAAACTAGATAAAATTCTCTATAAAATTGTATCAAACAATATATAAAATTTTGAATAAAAGCAAACGTAATTCGTGAACTGACAATTTATTAAAATTGTTATATCTTCACATACATTTATATTATATATATATATATATATTTATATATATATATATATACATATATATATAAAATTATAAAAATAGTGTAACTATAGAAAAAGCATAGAACTAAAAAATTTAAAAAAAAACAAGAATATAGCAAGAAAAGTAAAAAAGTACACAGCTCTTTTAACTAATGGCAATCAACTAACAAAAAAAAAATTATAATAAAAAATTAACAATAAAACCTTAAATCTAAACCAAATTACATATTATATATATTTTTATATTTTGAAATATGTTAGTTTGGTGTTGATATATATTTTGATGAATTGTTTAGAATCGGGCAGTAATACCAAGTAAAAAAAAAACTAAAGTAGTTTTTAAATACTTTATTTATCCAACTTTAGTTTTTTTTACTTGGTGTTACTGTCCGATTCTAAACAATTCATCAAAATATTTTTATATATATACTATACCACAGCCTTTATACATTTTAAAAATATATAAAAATCTTATTCTTACTTTATCATTAAATCAACGATACGTTTATAAAGTAGAAATAAAATGTTTAATAACTCTAATACACAAAAAAACTTAATTTTATAAAAAAAATATGTAATAATATCTTTTTTAAAACCTAATGTCACTCACAACAAAATGTTACCCCTAAAAACATATCCAGTCGACCACCTCATTATCAAAAATTCTTTTAAAATTTAAAAAATTATATTATTATTTATTCATTAGATGTACACTTTGCTTCCGCCGCTTTTATTCTAAACGGAGGCTTTTTTGTATAGAAATCCTTTAGTAAAAAACGGCGGAAGCAAAGTTGTACACCTAATATAATATATTATTTTTTAAAAATATTCGTTATTATTTTAAGCCATAGTAGCACGTTTCGATAAAACTACAGTACCGGTTTCAGGTAGTGAAGTATTGGAGAAGCGATTGTGGCTGAAATAAAATAGATTAATAGAGTAAGAAATAGAGCAGAAATAGTAATGAATGGAGTGAAAATTTATATTTAAATATAAATAGGTATCAAAGAAAATGAACAAAAATTCAGGTAAATTGAAAATTAGAAAATATAAAATTTTCATAAGGAAATAGAACAAAATAGTAAGGAAAATATAATAATTTTAATAAATCGATATTTTACGAATTGAAATTTGCTTTTATTCAAAATATTGTTATGCAACTGTATATTGTTTGTTGCATTTTTATAAATATTTTTGTCTAGTTTTTATAGATATAGTTTTCTAAAAACTTTCCCACGAAATATTAAATGATAATATATAAACTACACAATTTAGAAACGACAAAATACAACATAATAACATGATTGCGTAATTAAAAAAATGCAAGCACATAAATAAATTAATTAATTAATAAAAATGAAATAAATATTATGAGTAATTGAGTTATTTTTAGTCAGTCTTCGGGAAAATTATTTTTAGTTTTCATAACCGTTTTTTTCTATTATTACTTTAAATCTGTTAAAACAATTGAGATTTTCAATACTTAGGTCTTTGATTATTTAACGATATTAAAGTAAATTCTTATGCTTTGAGGATGTAATAATAAAAGAAGAACTCTGAATTATTCAGATTTAAATAATTGAAATAAAATAATAACAGCAATATCATCATTGTACATTGTACATTTAGTTCAAACTTGATCCGAAAGATTTCTAAGATATCATATACAAATAATTAAAGTTATAAATTGGTAATTGTATTAATATTTTTTTAAAAATTGTCATTTATTATTTAATAAATAAGTTCGAATTAAATAAAATAATATAAAAATGTACTCACATTGCATCATACTTCTGTCGCTCTTGTAAAGATAAAGATGGTCTTGAACTTTTTAAGGCTTCTAGAAGATTTTCTGTAGAAATCGTGTCAATCTATAAAAGTACAAAAATTGACGTATATATATATATATATATATATATATATATATAATATGTATAAGAAGTTACTGTTAATTGAATTTCATTTACGACTCGGATCATAAAACTTTAAATGAAGTCGTTATCTGATTCATCTTTAAAACAAAATCTAAAACGTTTATTATATTTTGTATAATAACACAATAATAACACATTTCTTTAGAATGTTTTTGTATTTACAAAATAAAAATAGAGACTCAAGAAGTCAAAGAAAATTATGTAAAAAAACGAATTAGATATGAATTAAATTAATTTCGGTTTTATGTAGGACAATATTGTTGTTATTATTCTTAAATCTGTTTATATTTGTGTTTATATCTTATATAAAGCAATTATTAAATATTAAAAAATATTGAGAAAGATTAAAAAATCTAATATCACTATGAACAATTTTCAAAATTCTTTATTGTAGTCTTACAATTTAAAATAATTTTAATTACAAACAATGTTGGTAAATATGCGATTTAGTAAAAAATAGTAGAATGTAGTAAATCATTTTACTTACATTATTTTCCATTGCAAATTCTTTAGCTTTGCACAAAAGAGCACTTAAATCTGCTCCTGTAAAACCATCGGAATGTTTTGCAATTTCTTGCAGAATAGTTTCTGGTAAATTTGCATCACTTTTTAATTGCAATCTGAAAAAAATTACATATTTATATATATATATACACATATGTGTGTGTATTTATTAATATAATCTTACTTTTTATTAAACGTGGTCAAAGATTTCAAAATATCAAATCTTCCATCAGTGTCCGGAATTGGACATAAAAATTGTGGATCTAATCGTCCTGGTCTTAATAATGCAGGATCTACAAAAAATTAAATAAAATTAAGTACATATTTGATATAAAAAAAATAATTTAATAAATACATAAAGTTTGTTGATGATAATTAAATACAACCTAAATAAAAAGATTAAAAATCTAAATAAAAAGATTATCAAAATCTAAATAAAAAGATTAAAATTGTACGTGACAGCCCAAGTATTTATTACCAAAAATATTTTAAGGTGTTGAATTAGGAAAAAATAATTACAAGTTAATTCTAGGAAATTAAAAACCATAACAACAAATTTGTCACAATTATTTAACCCAAGCGATAAATCTTGACACACAGGTGGTTAAGCGTAAAAAGTTAAAAAATATCATACTGATATCTTTTATTAATATATTACTCTTTATTATTATTATATTTACCTATAAGATCAGGTCGACTCGTAGCAGCTAATATAAAAACACCACCAGTTACATCTCGGGCTTCACAACCGTCTAATTCGGTCAATAATTGATTTACAACTCTATCAGAGACACCAGAAGTGTCATGACCACGTCTGAAAAATTATATAATAACTAATTTAATAACAATAATATATTTTTCAATAATAATTGAGTTAATGTTAAGTTACCTTGGTGCAAGACTGTCAAACTCATCGAAGAAGAGAATACACGGCCTTGCACTTTGGGCTCTGAGAAAAAAAATAAAATTAAATATAATAAATTAATTATATATATTTATAATAATTATAATATATATATATATAAATATATATATATATATTAATAATTTAACTAATTGAATATGAAGTATTTGTAATTTCAAGTTACCAATGTTAAACCAGTTTTCGAATATTTTATCAGAGTTTTAAATTTTAAGTTAAATATATAATAATATGTTATATTGTTACAATGGTATCACATTATAATCGTATCATTGTACTGACATTGATGTAATTTTTTTGCTTTTTTGATTTCTCAAGATGCAATTACAGTATTTATTTATTTATTTATTCAACGCCCAAGGCAATAATACAATATAACTAGCTGTAAGTGGAATTCTGTCTTAAGGCAATTAAGGCATCATGCCTTAAGGCAAATTGCTGGAACTTCCCGTACCAAAAATTATTAATTTTTTAAAAACGATTATTTTTGAAAAAAATGTACTTTGAAAAAATAAGATTTTTGAGAAACTATATATATGGACAAAAAATTACTTTTTTTTGAAAAAAAAATTAAAAAAAAAAAAATTTTGTTTTCTTTTTTTTTTGAAAAAAAATATTTTTTCTTTATTTTGACATATTGTGGAAGATCTGAACTTTTTTTTCAAAGCAATCGTACTGCTTTAAATGCATAGAGACAAAATATAAGCGTAAGCGCCGCGTCGCTGTCTAACGGGTAAACATTGGTACGGAACCCATAGGAATGTAAACAAAATTTATACTTCTTGTTAAAATCTCTATAAAATATCTGATAATTTGATGTGCATATGTCTAATGATCATTTTTGACCGCCAAATGGCTATTTTTTTACTTTTTCCTCCATATCTCCGAAACCGCTAGACCTACCTTTATGAAAATTTTATCGATTCTTCATCTTGTCAATACAAGTAAAATGTTTTTTGAATTATTAAATCGGACGCTCCGTTCTCTTAAAAACTAAGTTACCGTTTTCGGCACTTTTTGCCCCGTATCTTCGGAACTGCTAGACCGGCCTTCGCCAAAAACTAATCAGCACGTCTCCTTATCAATACGAATTGAATGTTCTTTGAATTATTCAAATCGGTTGATCCGTGTTCCCGAAATCGTCGACGAAAATTTGTATCCGCACATACATACACACACGTACATACATAC